AAATGTTCATAAAAAAGCAAGAATTTAGTGATTTTTTTAAAATAGTCGGAATACTTCCATTTTAAGATCAAAATCTGAATTTAGAGAAATTATGAAAAAAACGAGAATTCTGAGATTTTCAAATTGTCGTGATTTACAGAAAAAAGTGAGAAGTAAAAAAACGAGAATTTTGAGATTTTCATAAAAAACTGAAATGTTTTTTTTTTCGGAATAAAAATCAACATTTGGGGATTTTCTGAATAAAAGCGAGAATTTGGGTCCTTTATTGGAGATTTACAGGAAAAAGAGAGAATGTTGAGATTTACAGGAAAAAGTGAGAATGTTGAGATTCACAAAGAAGTCAGAAATGTGAGATTATCAGAAAAAAGCAAGAATTCGGGCGATTTACGCTACATTTAAGAATTCTGCAATCTAAAAAATTGTTTACATTTTCGGAAGAAAATCTTAATTTGGAGATTTACAGAAAGGAGCGAGAATTCTGGGACTTTAAAAAGCACCAAAGTGCTTCACAAAGACAGATATCGGCTGGTGAGCTCAGGTCTGCATAACAATGTTTCATATCTTCGACCTAACAACTGTTTTTATTTCTTACCTTAAAAATAACTTGTCCTGTTGCCAAGCTACTGACTGCAGGACAGAAATAATGTTAAGTTCAAGATGTATTTCTGTTTGTGAACAAAGTAAGTTTCAACTGATGGAAGAAACTTTTAAAGAGACGCTTTAGAATCATCTCAGAAGTCTGACTCCACTTTAACATAATGGAACAAAACATGCATTCAAACCCTGACAGTGATGTCTCTTTAGAAATGCTGACCGGTTATTAAAGATAATGAGAGGCTGGGGACATTATGTTCTTTATATCTACATTTAAAACTACTCAGGGTTCCCATGGATCATAGAAGACACGGGAAAAACCAGAACATTGAGTTTAGCTTTAGCGTAGGAATATCAATGCTTTTGATATTTCTTACTGGATGAGTTTCTGTAAAGCTTCTGATTATCAAAGTTAATCAACCCTCGATCCTAGTCTAAAACTCTGCCTCGAATTTCAAGGGACATTTTAAATTGGATATAAAGGGGGGAACCCACAGTGAACCCTGAGGAAGCTGCAGCACTCACATCGTCTGATATATTAAACCTCCCGGCCTTACAGAGACAGAACAGCTGATACCTCTAGCAGACATGTTGTATATCTGAAGTGTGTGTGTGTGTGTGTGTGCAGGACGCCATGGTTCTGATCCTGAAGAGTCTGCTGCCCGGCTGCCTCTTCAACATCATCGGCTTTGGGTCCACCTTCAAGCCCCTGTTCCCGACCAGCCAGAGCTACGAGGAGGTAAACCTGAACCCATCCAGGTCCTGTATTACATTCGGGTCGATACGTACTTCCAGAAGATAAGCCAGTTGTTGTTAGAAAACTCTCACTGGTCCCTGGCTTGAGCTTGAATCTCAGGATCCATGTATCTGTGATCCTCTCCAGAATGGAAGTAGTCATCACATACAGAGCATCAACTAGTTCCTGAACAGTGTCCTTCACATGCTGATATCCAAGAGAGGGAGTTACACAGTCACAAGATGGAGGAATAGAAAGCAGTATTCAATGTTTACTTCAGATTAGCTCCACGTCAGAAATGATCATGCTTGTCATATGTCTCTCTCCATAGAGGCTGAATCATCATGTTAATCACATAGCTATCATATGCCTCAAACAGTCCTGATGCTCTTCTAGGTAATCACACATCCTGTCATGTTCACAGCTACAGTTGATACCTTTGTTATCAAGTTGCTCTCATGTTGGAAGAGGACATTCACTATCTTCCCAACACCAGTCTAATATCCCTCTACATGCCTCCCCCCCTCAGGAGAACCTGGTCCAGGCCTCTGAATACGTCCGGAGGCTCCGGGGCGACATGGGAGGAACCAACGTCCTGAACCCCCTGATCTGGATCCTCCGTCAGCCCTCCTTCAGAGGAAACCCCCGCCTCCTGTTCCTCATCACTGATGGAGCGGTCCGCAACACGGGGGCTGTCATTGAGCTGATCCGGAGCCAGGCCCGCTCCATCAGGTACTGAGGGGGGGTATGTTATATAAAGGGGGGTCATTCGTGGTGATATGTTAGTTACTCAGTTTTATGTTCACCTGTAGTGTGTTCAACCTGTAGATGTCCCTTAAAGCTCCCCTATTGCCTTGCTCAAGGGCACCACGGCAGGGCAGGAGGTGAACTGGGACCTCTCCAAGTAGCAGTCCACACTCCATATTTAGGTCTGTTCGGGGGCTTGAACCGGCGACCCTACAGCTCCCAGACCAAGTCCCTTGAGCCAGTGGGCTGCCATTATGTACGGCACCCAGGGAGCTAGGGAACGCTGCCTTGCTCAGGGACACCTCGGTAGCACTTGGTCTTTCCGGGACTTGAACTAGTGACCTTCCAGTTGCCAAGCCAAGTCCCTATGGACTTCGCCACCACCGTCCGTTATGCAGCGATAGACTGCCCGTCCAAAAGAAGAAAAAAACACCTGGATTTAACCTAAGCCAATCAGAGAGAGCCTATAATTACTGCAGTGATTAATATGTGATAGGAAAAACTGTTTTATTTGCTGAAATTGCTAAAGGTTAAAAATTGCCCAAGTTATTAAAACCAGATCAATGAGTCCAGACCCTGTCCCAGAGTGAGGGGCGCATCAGGGTCAGGAGACGGACAGAGAGCCTCTCTGTGAAACCTTTGAACGTGAACAGCTGATCCTGCAGATCTCAGAGGACGCAGGCCCGTCTTTTTAATGAGATGCAGAGCTCTGAAGGATCAGGAGGATCAGAGCATTCATCCGGAAGCTTTCAGAGCAAAGGAGTAGAAACACAAGGAGAAATGATTTGATTCTGCAGCTCGGTCTCTGGAGGTAATTGACCCCCCCTCTTTCTGATGGATGATTGCATTAGGGACTCAGAGCTCACTTCCTGAGTCATTACGTGAGGGATTATTATTTATTATGCAAGGCGACATTTCCCTTTAACCCGCGGACATTAGAGCGACGCTGCAAGGCATTCTGGTAGCTCAGAGGAGGAGGAGAAGAAATAAAGCTTTTAGATGTTATCTGTGGAAACAAACGTGCTCCACAGATATTGGTATTGATATCTTTGTGTGGCATCTGGTTATATTACAAGACATTCATTAATGTACTCTTTACTCTGCATTGTCTCTGAGCACAAACACGTCTATAAACCGTATAGTGTGATCAGGAAACCAAATGTATGCATGGAAATAGTTTCAGTGCATCCAACCAGCATTCAGAAACTCGGCTTCACTTTATAAAGCACCTTGTCCAATACTTGTTTGACATGCTGCTGAAACAACAACATTTCCAAATTTGTGATTAATGAAGTATTATCTAACCTTTCATACAAACCTGCAGCACAAAGTGTTTTAACGAGCAGAAACACAGACTAACAAATATAATCAGACACAAATATAAGCCTTTGAAAGACCTTTAATCACTAGCAGGATTAGTCAATAAATAACATTAAAAACAATGATTACATCTTAAGAGGTACTGATAACATTCTCCAAATTCAATCCAAATAAAAAGATAAATGTATAATTGCTTCAAAATCATACAAAGAAAAAATAGTTCAGAAGATTAGGAGCAGTAAAATATAAAGAGACATTTAAAAGAAAGCAGCGGTTCCCAACCTGTGGGCATTGCAAGTGGGCCGCCAAATAATTAGCAAAACATTGTGATTTGTGTGGAAACATTTCATTATTACGATTTGTTTTTATTTGAACCTCCTTTCCTTTCTCTTTCTTGATCCTCCTTAGCAACATCATCGAAGTCCTTGGCAACGGTCATTACAGTCCTTAGCAACGGTCATTACAGTCCTTGGCAACGGTCATTACAGTCCTTAGCAACGGTCATTACAGTCCTTGGCATCGGTCATTACAGTCCTTAGCAACGGTCATTACAGTCCTTAGCAACGGTCATTACAGTCCTTAGCAACGGTCATTACAGTCCTTGACATCGGTCATTACAGTCCTTAGCAACGGTCATTACAGTCCTTGAAAGCGGTCTGTTCTACTGGATTTACAACGCGTCACATGTTCTGAAT